TGATCTTTAATCCACGAGAGTTATTAAAAATACTAAAACATGTTGTATTGATAATGTTGTTAAATAATTTCATCTTATTTTCATGGCAATAAGTTTACATACTTATTTTTCACTCACAACCCGCCGGACGTGCTACTACGGGCAGTCTACGGTAAAAAAATTTTTTGGCAAAACTGTGCTTGAGACTTGCGCAGCACTTGCGTGTGTTCAGTGCCGTAGAAGGTCACAGACTGGGCATGAAGACTTTTGGTCCTGCACATGCAAATTCAACAGGTCTTGCGAACCCGTACAGGTCAAGAGCGCGTACAATACGTACGGGACCCGTACTCCTTGGGCGTATTGGACTCCCTGTTCGCAAACAGAGAACGGTGTTCTCGGGTGAGTTGAACACGCAAGAACATGTTTGCGGTGCTGTTCTTGCACCCAAATCCCACACTACCTCCGCTGGTGGTGTGGCGAGAACGGATGAGGAACAAAGATGGCAGACAAAGAGAAAGTTTCGGAGCCGTGTCCATCGTAAGTGTAATTTTTGGTGGGATAATGCAAATGACTCAGTAAAATAATGCACTCTACATCTCAACAACAATGAGCTGTCGCAACTTTTGCAAAATCAGTGGGTAGATGTAAGAAATTATAACTGTGAAGTATCATTTCAAAAATCTCAGTCAAAATTAAAACCCCCGCCATGATCAGATGTGTTTATTTACGGAAAACCGGAAATGATTCCATGGTAACCGTGCTTACCTGTTCGACTCTTCCGAACTCGTTCCCACATTCTTAACCTGTTCACGAATGGTGGAGAACAGGGACTCTAATACGGCCCTTTTGTACACCTGAACCAAGTCAGCAGCACAGCTAGTAGGGGCTTTGTGATGACAGTATGACGCACGGTCATTGTACGAGTGACGTGCCCCAGAAGTACAACACAAGTACTCCACACTTGCTATTTGTGTGGCCCCCAAGACAGAAATTCATCTCAGTTTCTACCCCTGTGTGTACCCGCACGCGACATGAGGGGCAAGACTCTGGGTATATATATTGGGGAGGAACCAAGGAGGCTGATTGTATAGCGTCACACCAAGTCATGAGTGATTGTCACGTGCTAATCACAATTGTCACAAATGCGGCCCATAATCCTAGCACACGAAAGTGGTTAAATGCAGGTCACACGCACTCCACACTCACATTAGACCAGGGCTATTCAACCTTATCCAGAAAGGGCCGGTGTGGGTGCAGGCTTTCACTCTAACCAAGCACTTACACACCTGACACCACTAATCAACCCCAAAAGTCTTTGCTAAAGAGCTTGATTAGCAGTCTCAGGTGTGTAAGTGCTTGGTTGGAATGAAAGCCTGCACCTACACCAGCCCTTGCAGGATAATGTTGAATAGCCCTGCATTAGATGCACTGATAACGTGCGTCAGACACACGCTTTCCATGGGCTAACGGCGCATTTTTCCCTCGCCTTGAGCAAGTCAAGGCGTGCAACCTGTACTTGACAAGTACTTTGCCCGTACTCTTTCCCAAACCATCCCTGTACTCTTTCCCATACTTTCCCCTGTGTTCACCGCGACCCTGCGGCTCAGCTGTGTGCTACCAAATTCTGTGACCCATGCGTGTCCAAAACACTGACGGCGGGTTGTGAGTAAAGCATAAGCAAAGACTTCTTTCATGCGTTACAACTTCTAATTTAATAACACACAATTTTTCGGTGCAGATCCTAATGACATTATCAAGCAAGTGTGATAATGGTTTTTGGATCTTTACCAAAATGTTGTGTGTTAATAAATGAGAAGTTGTTATCCATAAACTCTTACTCTTTGGCAAGAATAATTTCATATTTGATGCAAATCAAAAAATATAATGGTTTCTCTGAATAGCAGTTTTGAGACCGGATCCTTCACTGATCTATTTTTTTAAACATGCAATTTGCAGATAGACCCCTGTAATATCAGAATTAGATTAATTCAGAGTTATAATGGTCTATCTGCAAAATTGGGTATCCAGAATTCTGGGAGGATGCCTTGGTAGGAGAGATATGATAGGCTCATTTAAGCCGCACAGTACGCTGGTCATTCAAAGAAAAAAGACTATGCAGCCTGACAAAAAATAATTGAAGCTACAGAGTTCTGGATTTTCTATTACGATTTTCTCAAAAATCTCAAAAGTGCAGATAGACCTTGTGAATTCTTGGCAGACGATATGCTGTTGAAGTAGGAACTTCGCTTTGGGAAAATTTAGATTCAGAGCGGCCAAGATGCGCTATGAAAATAGTTCCCTCCGCCAGGAATCGATTCATTCTTGGGGAATTCATGCGATCAATCGACCTGGGAAAACATAGCTTGTGCCCATCCCTTGATAGATGTTCAGAAATTAAATGTAATGAGGAAATAAACACACAGCATTAACAAAATAATTCTATTTGTATATTTCAGGAACCTTAATGTGCAGAAAAAATACAATCTATCACAGAGAAGTGGACCATTTCTAGAGCTCCCTCTGAACGACTCGAGAGGTTTTCATGGGAGCTCGTGTCCTTTTCCCCGTCCATCCAACCATGAAGTAATATCATTCCCTAATTGCCATTGCATTAAAAATTCAGTATCAAAATGGAAATTCGCACTGAGCTGCATGTCTCACTTCCGAGCGAATGCAATGCTAGTTCTGCTGGCAAATGCTCCCAACGTGCTCGGAATAACTAGACACATGAATGCAATAAGAATATACCCAGAGTGTCAAATTTTTACCTTCCATACCAATCCTGTGTTTCCGCTAAATTTGTGTTTCCGTCAGGTCAGCAAAACTGAAAAGAAGTTTTCAGTTCCTCGGGGGCTACAACACTAGAATGTTCAGGCCAGAAAGCCACATTTATCTAAAAAGCATAATATGTTCAAATTTCTGCGCACTACGTAAGACGGCATTAAAATGATTTTCTCCAGCGAGAGAAAAAATTGAACCTTTACAAGTGACCGTGGACTAACAAAACCAAACGAACGGGGCTCTTCAGAGGCTACATGAAATTCACGTCTATTAACGCGTGAGGGCAGTATATAATATGGCGGTTGTATGAAAGATGAATGACAAGAATATCTATGGTCTCTTGGCTGAATAAATTTTGCAGAGGTCGAGGGCATCGATGCAACATCGGAGCATTCCGTTTACTGTGTTCCTTTTCGAGGTAGAAAGTTCCGGTAAGCTTTTATTTTGTCGACATGTAAAAGGTCCGATTAAGGACCGTTTGCAGGAATAATGACTCTCAAGAATTTCATATTCAGAGAGCATAAAATCTAGTGTCTTGGTACGATTTCATAATTTCACCACAAACCGGTCTATGCTTTGGTGGTCGTTGTCTTAGGAGAAAACAAAAGTGTCACGTTAGGTAATTATCCGTCTGAATGTCTCGGAGAATCATAAGCTTCGTTTTGTATCTTTGCAGAATGCACGTTTTGATGTAATTGTGCATGAATCAGATTTCGGACGCCAAATAGTGTCCTCTTACTCCGAGGCTTTCACGAACTTGACGAGTTTTGAGACCGACACCCACCCATCAGATTTGACACTTCAGCCAAGGTGAGATTACATTAGCGGCCACTGATATTCCACTCTTTCATTGCATGTATTCAGTTTACCCCTGTGCGTTGACTGCAGTTACAGTTTTTTGCATAAACATACTCTCGAGAAAACATGGTTCGCGTGCTCACTCAAGACAGCTGACTGTTTATTTCGGTAAATACATGTGTGTGCATTCTCCAGTTGACTTAGTGCGACGCATGGCGAATCCTACCCACGTCTCGAAGGTGCGCGCTTTATACAAAAGGATCCTCCAGCTGCACCGGTTCCTGCCGCTAGACCTGCGGGCTTTGGGTGACCAGTATGTCAAAGACGAATTTAGAAGAAACAAATCAGCAAAGCCATCTGAAGTCAAGTCCTTCATGGCCGAATGGGAGGTGAGACAGTACTTTCCGGTCATCTTTCGGACGTTGTTAATGCGAAATTTGTATTTGATTCGATTCTACCGTTTACATGACCAAAGGTGCATGGACAGACATTGTATTTGACGTAACTAGTGCTCGTCATCAACCTTCATTTCATATTTAGCTACAGTGCATTTCTGCGCATGGTCCCACTTGCGTCTTACCTCTTGTTGGTAAAGGATAATACCCTGGTGGTATGCCTTTTTAGATGACATTTGATTTCTTGTTGATACTTGCAGTTGACATTCAGTCTTTGTATGATGGAAAATGACAAAAATAAGATGGGTTTCTGAAAAATCCTCAAGTGTGTTGACAATTCAAGAATTCTTGACAAAAACAAAGGCAGAACATGGGGCCTTCAGTCACCATCATTCAGAAGATTCCATTGTGTCATATGAGTTGAGGATACAAGAATGAGAAGTAACTCAAAGATAACACGGGCAAGAAAAGAACCTAGATCACATTTCTTTGAGTCCCATGTCTTTATTTTTTTCCCCTCCATTGAATTTTTGCTTTGGTTGATGGATTAAAAATAAGGGAAAGTCGGATGTGGAAAATCAGCTTCCGGAATGAACTCTTATTTCAAAGAACTGGGTCCAGGTGTCATGTCCCCTCAGAATTTTACATTTCAGACTCAGGATTCTTGCTTTATAACCTTTAACATTCCTGTAGCTGCTATTGTAATAAACTTCAGATGTTAAAGATTTTTAGCATTGTAAAAGAAAGTTGCCACCTCCTTTGTTAACCTGGTCTGGTCTGGTGTCAAGCAAGAGAATATTGACCACAGAAACGTATATATGGTACCTAAATAAGTAAGTCTGTTTTGAGCCTAGTGGCCCATCAGTTTTCGGCGGCATGAAGCGACTAGGAGTATTGCTACTCCCCCTGGATGGGATGCCAGTCCATCGCATGGACTCCACAGCTCTTAGTCAGGTTTCCCTGACAATTTGCTGGCACCCATTTATACACCTGGGTGGAGTGAGGCAGTGTGGGAGTGAAGTGTTTTGCCCAAGAACACACTGTAAAAGCTATGGTAAGGACTTGAACTCGGGACCTTTTGATCCCAAGTCCAACACACTTAACCACTGCACTATCACATCTCCCAGTTACCTAAATTATAATCTTTATTTAAGATACAGATTTGTTAAAATTGCGTCTAGGAACCCCCAAGAAAAAAGCCCACCGGGGTTGACCCCTTACGCCCTAATAAACACGGCACAGAAAATGAATTACAACCCCAATTCCGAAATAGTTGGGTCAAAGTGTACATTGTGAATGAAATCAAAATGCAATGACTTTCAGATCACATGAGCCAATATGTTATTTACAATAGAACATATAGATAACATTTCAAATGTTGAAACTGAGACATTTTACATTTTTATCCACAAAATGAGCTTATTTCAAATTTTCTGGCTGCAACAGGTCTCAAAAAAGTTGGGACACAGGCATAAAAGGGCTGAAAAAGCAATTAATATATAAGAGAATCAGCTAAAAGAACATTTAGCAAGTAATTAAGTTAACTGGCATCAGGTGTGTAACATGATTGTCTATAAAAGGGCTGTCTTAGAGAGGCTGAGTCTCTCAGAAGTAAAGATGGCCAGAGGCTCTCCAACCTGTGAAGGCTTGCGTAAAAAAATTGTGGAATACTTTAAAAACAATGTGGCAATGTGTGCATTAGTGCATATGGTTTGGGACACCTGCATGTTTTAAAAAGCACCATGAATGCTGAAAGGTATATAAAGGTTTTAGAGCAACATATGCTCCCATCCAGGTGACATCTATTCCAGGGAAGGCCTTGTGTATTTCAGCAGGACAATACAAAACCGCATACTGCAGCTATTACAACAGCATGGCTTCGTAGTAGAAGAGTCTGTGTGCTGAACTGGCCTGCCTGCAGTCCTGTTCTTTCACCGATTGAGAACATTTGGCGCATAATTAAACAAAAAGTCCGTCAAAGGAGACCCAAAACTCTCCAGCAGCTTGAAGTCTGTATTAAACTAGAGTGGGATCAAATTCCAATGGCTAAACTCAAGAAACTTGTCTCCTCAATGGCCAGACGCCTCCACTCTGTTAAAATGAAGAGGGGATGCTACACCATGGTAAACAGGCCCCTGTCCCAACTTTTTTGAGACCTGTAGCAGCCATCAAATTTGAAATGAGCTCATTTTATGGATAAAATTTTAAATTTCTCAGTTTCAACATCTGCTATGTTATATCTGTTCTATTGTGAATAAAATACTTGCTGGTGTGATTGGAAAGTAATTGCGTTTTGATTTTATTCACAATTTACACTTTGTCCCAACTATTTCGGAATTGGGGTTGTAAGATGAACTTAATACTCTCACACTGGCAGAACATTGCCCATAGTCCCAAACACAAAGCAATGAATTCACCGCACATGAATCAGACCTACCAAAGAAAACGGCCAAGCTGTAACAAAAGTTTGTCAGATGTCTACATTTTTCAAAGAACCAGCAACACACAATTGAAAACTCATTTGGTTCGTCTCTGGGTTTGTTACAGGCGGTGCATTTTTTTTTTTTTTTTTTTTTTTAGTTTGGTTCTGGTGAAAATGTATCGACTTCAAACTGTTGTGGTGCGAAGTTTAACGGAAATGTGGCATGTTTTCGATTTTGTGTTGCTGGTTATTTGAAAAAGGTAGACATCTGACAAACTTTAGTTGCAGCTTGCCCGTTTTCTTTGGTAGGTCTGTGAATGGAGCACAAGATCAAATTGCAAGGCTCTCAATTCGGACCACTCCAAACTGCAGGGAGGTCAGAACCATTTCTACAAATGGGGAGAGGCAAAAGGTCGCATTATCCTATAGTATTGCCGCTTAATGAATTCCCACTGGAAGGTCGAATTAGTAAAACTCATTTTATTAAGATAAATAACTAATTAACGTGGAAAAAGAGACCCTGACAAGACAATAATAAATGTAAAACACAAAAAAGTGTTTTCAACTTCTCTCATGATCCCCTCCATGGGGCGCGAACATGAAGTCTCCCATAAAAGTAGGGAAGCAAGCGGAAACACCCTTGCTCAAACGGCAACTTCTTCAAGGTTCTGACGGCCTGAGGCGGTGTACAGAGCCCAAGACGATATGATAATTCGCAGAATGAAGCAAATGAAGGGCACTTTCTAGTCCCCGGTGCCTCTCTACCTACAAGTGGTCGCCGATAAGCCTGCACTCCTAACACAGGAACGACTCCTTTATTTAACTTTATTCACTGCCGGCACTGGTAGAGCCGTACCTTGCCGCCACAATACCGTCTCTTATTTCCCGTTCAATGCTCTCTTTTATTTCACCATAATCGTCCACACCTCCTAGCAGGAGAGCCATCGGTTTCCTCAGGCGGGAATGGTTCCCAACAAGTGCCCAAGGGGACGCAAAGATCCTCTCCCACATTTCTCCTGCCGCAGTATTACAGTGCCTTCATGCTGTAGAAGCTTATGGAAGGTAAGCGTAGTAATATTGTGATACCTGTGATATCTAAAGAATCGCGTTTTATTAAGGTAAATTGCAGTTTCTCGCGGCAGCACTGTTGAGGTGGCATTTTCATTGTTAGCCACAAGGTGGTAGCACATACTCACGTTTCACATCAATCGGGACCCCCCCCCCTCGGCCATTTCCGCGCGAATGTTTTTGAATAGCGGAAATGGCCGAGAGAGTCCCGAGTAGTTTCACAAACGCTCAAGCACCCTTCCCTTTTAATTTTCACACCCGAACCTGTTGAGCCAAGGTCTGGAAAAATGAATCACCCTGCATGGCTTGAATATTTATTTCAGTATGAACGGAACTTCTAGTCCAAGTGGCGGCCATGGATTCATGACCATGACAGCTATTGTTGATTGCGAGTTTATGTTGTCATAAATTATAATTAAATCACCGTTCATTATAAATGTTGGGGAGAGAAAAGCATTTAAAACAATGACTACGGGGCTTAATCAAAAGCCGTGAGTATTAATTTGTTGGCACTTAAAATCCATCTGCTGACAGACTGCTCAAACGACGCTTGTTCAGGCACTCTCAATTCTCAATGTGCATCCGGTAAGTATTCGGACAGTGATGCACATTGTAGGAATTATTATCATTAAAATAGTATTCAAACACTCGTGTATCTCGCTCATTAATTTTGTATTTGTCATAAGTTTATCTGCCTTACAGAGGATGGAGACTTCCCCTCCGCCCTCTCCGAGATGAAGAGAACGGCTGCCATAAAGCGCCGATGTTTTCTGTGTTGTCGGAAAGGCTCCGGGAATATTGCTTTAATCACTCTTAGTTGTGTGTCCGTGGGGACGAGCACGTCGTCCTCGGTAGGTTAGCAAACAACCGAACTCATTAAATCTGCATGCGCCTCGGCAAACGGCTTCCCGGTTTTGTCCCTGAAGCCGACTCCCTAACGCCCATCTCCTGGCTTTTTGCGTCAGTTTGTTCTTTAAAAATACTTAAAAAAAAAAAAAACTTTACGACGGTTTGAGACCGTCGTTGTTAGAACTCTTTGACGAGGCAGAAAACAGCAGGCGCCAATACAGATGATGCTTCAGCTACGCATATTTGTTTTTCTTTTTTTTTTTTTTAGGGGGCAGTGGGTGATTATGAGTTTTTCATACAGTTTCCATTAAAGTGGAAAGCTGGATGGAAATGGTTTTTAATCATTTTTCGCGTCGGTGAATATTCTCTTGGTGCAATTGAATTTTATTGTTGTGCGCGTGTCAGCAATTTGGAATTTTGACGCAGCGCTAACTCGCGTTAGAGCGCGTGGTGAGCTCCATAATGTTTGGGACAAAGAGAGATTAGTTAACAAACCGTGCGCGCGAGCTTAATACGCAGAATTAGTGTTTTCTAAACTAAAATTTTGCCTCTGCATGTAGAAATGACAGCACTCTGCATGCCCTGTCCCCCTGTTTTAGGGCACGGTTGTGTTTGTGACCTAAAGCCTCGCAGGTGTTTCGAATGAATCATTTGTGTTCAGTTGCCTCCGCTGTGCAAGTATTCGCGATATTTTAATTTTTCATTCTGTTCTTACGCTTCTTAGCTTTTGTGAACAAGAGAACAAACTACACAGCTTAGACATTGGCCTCCAAAATTACTGGCACCCCTGACTGGCAATACACAAACAATAAATAAATAAATAAACAATGTACTTAAAGACAGACAGAATTTACCCGCATGTGTGAAATATTTTATTAATGTTTCGATGGAAACAACCAAAATCATGACAATCATTTCAAGCAAAATAAATTTCCACAAAATCAAGGTTTCATTTTTATTGGCTCTCTTCATTTACTACTTCTTGCGACCACCTCTGGCAAGGATAGCAGCATGGAGTCTTTTTCTGTAATTTTTAACAAGGTTAAGGCACACATTTGGGTGGATTTTGGACTACGCTTCTGAGCAGATTGTTACAAGATCCTTCACATTCTTGGGTTTATAATTATCAACTGCCCTCTTCAACTCAGCCCACAGGATTTCAATTGGATTTAGGTCTGGTGACAGAGATGGCCATTGCAGAACGTTGATTTTGTTGTCACAGATCCATTTTTGTGTGGATCTGGAGGTGTGCTTTGAGTCATTGTCTTGCTGGAAGGTCAACCTTTGGCTTCTGGCGGAGGCAACCAGATTGTCAGCCAAAATATCCTGATACTTGGTGGAATTCATAATGCCATTAATCTTAACCAGTGCCCTTGGACCTCTTGAATTAAAACAGCCCCAAAACATGACTGACCCACCATCATATTTCACCGTGGGTATGAGACGTTTCTCTTTGTGTGCATGTTTATTTTGACTCAAACATGCCGATGCTGTATCTGACAAACGTGCAATTTGGGTCTCATCTGACCAAAGCACCTTGTTCAAGTCATAATTTAAATGACGTTTGGCAAACTCCAAGAACTTGCTTCTGTGTCTTCTGGTCAGAAAAGGCTTTCTTCTGGCAACCCTTCCAAAGAGCCTGTGTTTGTGGAGGTGGCGCCTGATGGTGCTTTTTGAAACCTTGTGACCCCAAGATGCCACCAAGGTTGCTATTCCTTCGCAGTGATTCTTGGGGATTTTGTTGTTTCTCTCACCATCCTCCTTAGTATCCTGGTGGGCAAA